TGTCTACAGAAATGGCTTCGTTCAAGGAAACCAGAGACTTAATTCTACTTTCATACGACATAGACTTGATTAATGACGAGGATTTCCTTCTTCTGTATCCGTCTTACATCTACCAGAACTTAGATTTGCCTCTCAGCTGCTTTTAGAACCGCCTGCACTGTAATTCCAACCACAAAACAAAATAACACTGATTAATAAGCTCGATTTCAGCAAGGGCAAGATGTTCGTATAACGTGATAAGCCCGAAACTACAAAACTTTTGATTCTGATAAAATATATTTTGAACAGCAATAAACATTATAGCTCAGCTTGGTGCATATGAAGCCTTCTTTTTTGTGGCTGTTCGGCCCGGAAAAAATATGACTGTCGCTCACGGTAGATTGTTAAATCGTTCAAATGCTTTGTGCAAATGACAAACAGTGAAAAAAGCGTTAAAATGAGAAGAAAACAACATGCTTAAACATACYTAGTGAAGAGCCGCGAAACCAGGCACTTTCCCGTGGTAGAAAGCAAGGCTACGGCGGAAAAGCTGTGTTGGAACGCGCGTCGTGACGTCACCGGAAGTGATCTTCACTATTTGCCGCCGTACTACAGCCTAGCCGTACCATATCTTAAAGTCCCTATTGAGTGGGCCGGATGTGCGGCCCGCCACGAAAAATCCTTGCCCTTAGTTAAGACCAAAATCTGCGATTTTTCCTACCCTATTTATGACCTGACCAAAAACGCGACCCTTAAATCAACACCTATTTCATACCTAGCACAATTAGTACCCTAGTTCAGATCGATGTTAAAGGCATCGTGTAGGACTTTTGCTGATGGTCTTATCAGTAATGATGAAAAAGTAGCTTCTTCTAAAAAACATACCCGGGTAGATTGCAAAAACCACACCTTATTTTAGACCGAAATGACCAAAATCAATTCCCTCAGTTTCTGCCCAAAATTGCTAAAAAAAAAATCATGCCCTTTGGGACCGCATATACGTATATAGCTCAAAAAAGGCAGTACCCCGGGATAGGGAAATGATAAAAGGAAACTTTCGCTAAGAGGATACTGTCCTTTCAAATGATTTGTAGCATTATCGGATGGGTCAGTCCTTGCACTCACAAAGTCCACTTTTCAGAGGAAAATGATATAGAAGACTT